ACTATTTTATATTTGGAACGAAAATTCTGTAAGTGTCCGAAGTCTGTCAAAATATCGAATGCGGATTTTATTATTTTTAGAGCTAGTTTAAAGTAGCACTTGAAGAAGATCGGAAACTGCAGAGACAGTCGCGCGTGCCATTGCTGAGTTAGCTAGTTCGGGAAACAAGGGGGAATTAAAATTTTTGTTTCACGAACGCTAAACAGACGGTTACACGTAAAAGAAATATACGTGCTTCATCCTTATAGGAAATAACGCACGGAAGAAACATACTTACCGAACGGGTAGTTCGTAACCCTCGGGCCATTCTATACTCTACCCTTTCTTTGGTCTCCTTCGGCCTAGGTTGCAATGGGAGACCCCAAAGACCCCCAATGATTCCTCTAGTTTACCTGCCTACCATTATAAAACTAAAGAAAACTTTACATTTTATACTTTTCTTCTTACTAACTTAAATTTCTGCTTCCCCATATTCTTCTAGACGGCATCCGAAAAGTTTCTCTTCAAGATCGGTTATTGCTTGATGTTTCAATCCGTCATTAAGCTTGATTTACTAGACATACGTCTCCTTCCCCATATTCTTCTAGACAGCATCCGAAAAGTTTCGCTTCAAGATCGGTTATTGCTTGATGTTCCAATCCGTCATTAAACTTGATTTACTAGACATACGTTTTCGTAAATTATTTCTGCTCTTTTTTACTTTACAGTTCTTAGTATAACAAACAGTTTTATAGATTGTAGAGGTAATCACTGAATGTACATTACATATATGTACGTATATGTACGAAATAGTTAAATATTTCTTTTTCTATATACACAGATTTCACAGTTCATTTTTTTTGTATCAAATGTTCTAGGTTTTGAATCATTAAATGAAATGTGTTGAAAAAATAAAGTAACTTGCTTTCATTGTTCCCTTTTACACGTTTATGTTTTTTATCGTTTCTATATTTTTTTACATAGTTTTGCTATTTCGTAATCCCTTATAATATTTTTCACTCTTCTTAATTGTGTGGGATTTTTAACACTTCTAAATTTTCAATTGTATTTAAATTTATTTCACTCCTGAATTGTACTTTCCTGTTCTAATTCATTCTTGGCTTGGGTTTGAATACATGGTTTCAAACGTCAGAACGATTTAAATTTGGTTTTAATTCACGTATGTAATTATAATGTAGGTACGTTTACCAATGCATGTGCACACATGGGTGTACATATTTATTGTTGAAGTACAAAACCGGCACATAAATTGATACACAGAATGCTGGTGAAAGAAAGACGAATAGACAGAGAGAGAGAGAGTGGTGAAAGCACTGGAGATCATTTACAAGCAAGTATTAGGGCTTTCAATTTAATTGGGTATTTACATATTTGTTTTTTACTTACGTGATTTAGATGATAATCTAAAAGTGAGTTCATTTAGTTTACTTAACATCGAAAAGAATCCGCGGGCCATCTGGAGTGAGCTTGGCAGCGTAATTTGCAGTTGCTGGCAAATTTTCTGATGATGTTGTTAATAGTTGTGGTTATTGTTGTTGTTATGTAATGCGGGCGAGTCAATTGTAACATTTACTAATTTAATAACGAAGGAAACCCCAAGAACAAATCTACGTTTCTCCAGTCACGGTAAGGATAACAGAAGCAAGCTATTTTCATAGGGTGGAAGAGGGGCAATCGGGTCCCAACCCGAATTCCTTAGAATAAACAGCAAGAATTGCTTTTGAACAGATTCAATTGAATCTACATAGCACCTATATGAACAAGACCACACAAGAGCATACTCGAGTATTGGTCTGACCAAACACATGTACAACCTTCTCGTAATGTAAGGATTATCAAGCTCTTTGGATCACCTCTTTATAAAATCTAGCGCGGACCTAGCTTTGCTTACTGAGAGCTCAATATGCAAGTTAAAACGTAACATATAGTCAAATAGAACGCCTAAATCTGTGAACGTATCGATGTCCTCCAACTTGCACGAATCAATGGAATACTGAGCAATGAATAACTTTCTTCTTGAGAAAGAAAGCTTCTGACATTTATTTAGATATAGTTTCAGAAGATTCAAAGAGCACCATGCAACCAAATTATTCAAGTCACTTTAAAGGTGATGTGATTCCGATTCTAGAGAGAAGAAAGAAAACAGTTTCACATCGTCAGCATACATTAAGATCTGACTGGAATTAATGCCCAATGAGAGATCATTAATGTATAAACTAAATAAAATGGTACCTAAATGGCTGCAATGAGGTACGCCAGATGCCACGGGGAATTCAGGTAAGAGCTTATTCATTTCACTAAATAGAAAGGAAAGCCAGAGGCTTGGAGTTTAAAGATAAGTAAGTTATGGTTAACCAAATCAAATGCTTTGCTTAAATTGGCGTATATTACATTTGTGCGAGAGCTACTAGAAAAAGCCTTGAAAACATGACAAGTAAACTCTAACAAATTAGTGGCCGTAGATCGACTTTTCCGAAAACCATGCTGGTGTGGAGAAATATACGAATTAATGGCAAATGCTGTGTCACAATTCGCTCAAACAGCCTACGCAGGACACTCAACTTGGTTATGCCTCTGCAGTTCTCAATAAGTTGTCTACTTCTACTTTCGTGAATAGGAATAAGGAATCTACTCCTCCAGCACAAACGGAATATACCTAAATTCAAGGACAGGTTAAAAATCTTAGAGATAACACCATATAACTCGACACCGCAAGATTTAAGTACACATGATGGAATTCCATCAAGTCCAAGCGCATAAGTATGTCTTAGAGAGCTCAAGTTTTTAAAAACATCATCTTGCGGTTATATTGAATTAAATTATGATCAAATAATTCGTTAAAGGACACAACAGCTCTATTAGAAGTTAACGTAGGAATCAAACAACCAGAATTATCACTGTTACATCAAGTGACTTAAGGCAAATTCAAGTCTCCCAACGCAACTACCGAATTGGTGGGTTTCGACTGCTTGGCCACTTCACAAATGAGGGCGGCCTGTTTCTTATATATGAAGATATCAAAATTTGGGAGCAGGTTATAAATAGTTGTTTATTAGGCATTTTCACTCGAATGACGATAAATTCAACGTCATGAATAATAGGAAATTCACTTCAAATTGATGGAAATGACGAAGATATGGCAATTTGTACATCACCACCAATGCGATCCAATCGATCATTTTTTAAAACCTGGAAAGAATTGTGGAAAAGTGCAGACGAATGTAGATCAAGTTTTAACCAAGTTTCAGTGAAGGCCACACAGGAGAACTCCGTGGCCACTGAATTCAGGAAGGTAGAACGAATTTTTGAATTTCGACCCTTAAGATTTTGATAAATGAGATATATTCAGCCTGAAGAAACATATAGTTTTTTGAAGGCGACGTAAAAAATACTAATCCGCTTTAGATTGACTGACGGGGCTTTCATCGCCAGATAACTTTTTATGTTATCCATAGATGTATCGGGTGCCAGTCTTGACACAAATATTGCTTTTTTGGGAGGAACTGCCATCAAGCAAATGGCATTAGAGCTAGGAGCAGTAGGGTTCACGACTTACCGGCTTATTTGTAACTTTTTTGTTACAGACCGACTCAGCCATATCAGAAATGCTAACGTTCTTTAAGGACATTATGGGAGCGCTAACTTGCACCCACGAATCGGACTCAGGAGGAATTAGAGGTAACGTACCACACGCTACGCTACGAGTTGTGATTTTACTAGTTTGGGAAGAAGAGGTGTGCTCAATAAAACGACGCTCATCAAACTTAGCCTTAATGATCTGAAAGTTTTCCCACAAGGAGCCGAGGTTTTTACTCAATTCAGAGAAACTATTTCTCGTCTCCGTGAACAATTGGTAGAAGTCTATGTGCCGCTTCCTACAGTCAGGACATGACCATCGCAATCACTTCGAGGGGTCAACGACTGCTTCAGCAGCACAGCCGATAATACCGGCACACTTTGCATGGCCAAAGCGATCGTAAAGCCAACACGAAACGAATCTTTCACATTCTGGGCTCGTTTTCGTCCGACAAGGTGTACGTAAACACTCTATGTTCAGTCTAAAAGACAGAAGTGGATTATGAAGAACAAACAGAAAAAATTGCAAAGAAATCCTCAACACAAAAATTTATCAACCAATTTAAGCAAAACTTCTCTGATACGGTGACACTATAACAAGAGAGCACAAGCGAAACAAAACTTCAAACACCAAAAAAATAAACAAAAAAAGAGAGACTTATATCAGAGCCCAATCTTTGTTTGCAAAAACCAAATGGATCAAAGCGTAAAGGAAAAATGCTTCTTTTACTTTGAATTCACTCACTCTCTTCTCACAGTATATCATAAATTTACACACAATAAGGCAAAATAACCACGAAATTCAACAAGAAAATAAAATATTAATTGCCGAAAAAAAATATAGACGACTACACCGCGCGCGCATAGTTGCCAAACTTATTATAGTTTACAAGTTATTTTCGTTTCTTTCGATGTACTATTTTGTTGTATTTGGAAATTCTCACTCCATGCATACACTCTTTATATATATTCTTTTATTCCCTTGTCCTCCTGGTTTGCACATTAATGCACGCACTTCAGACAAACATATAACAATCTTTTGGTGGAAAAATATATGAACTGTCTACGGTTTTCATGGTTGCATAAATTTCACGTGCAAATTTTTCTTGTAATCGATTTTGTTTCAGTGTCATTATTTTACTTAATAAAAATAATAAAGTTAGTTTAGTTTTTATTTTGCTTCCTAAACAAAAAAAAAACCAACATGTGTCAATGGCAGTCATGGTAGTGTATAAACGGAGCTAGAAACGTGATTGCCGCGTAACCGAACTCGATTATTTTGCAATTCTCAAAAAAATTATCGCGGTTTATCTGTAATTTATACATTAACGGTTCAACAGGCAGCCAGGAAAGCTCCATTAGATCTACGGTTTTCCAGGGTATCTTTTCGGGTCGAGAGTCTGTAAGGCAATGATGCAAGCTTCCTGTTAAACTTAGGAGCTCGTTTCAGACGGGTAACATTACGAGTTACCTTGAGGATGCCGTTCCCGATTGGACAATGCCCACTGCTAATCACTGGGTGATTATATAGCTAAGGTTTCTTTTCGGGCCGAGCGTCTGTAAGGCAACGATGCAAGCTTCCTGTTAACTTTAGGAGCTCGTTTCAGACGGGCAAGGCAACGGCAGACTACGTAAGAGCATAAGAGTTTTTAATTTACCTGTCCTTTGGCTGGTACTGAACTATTGAGAAAACAATCGTTATTTGTACTCTGCTTTTATAGCTGTTGGCTACCACTCCATTATCTTGATAAAACGACACGAGGTGTGCTTCCTTATATGATTAAACAGTAATTTAGCTAAGTGGTAAGTAACTAAATAGTATATCTAAGAGTACCTCAATAGTGTTGTAAAAATGAAAGTTATTTGTATAGCTTTGGGTATGGTTTAGAAACAAAGCCAAAAAATTGCTTTATAAACAAAAGATGATGCAATTGTAAGTGCAAATATGTCATAGAGACGTAATTCAATGCAAATACAAGCGTAGGGGGAAATATAACGTTTGAATAGAACAAACCAAAATTACAGTACACCTTACTTTACAATATGAATATATATTAGTTGTAGTGTAAGGGGTCAGTTCAAATATACAGTGTGAATGGAGTATACATGCATACCGTATAGATAAAGATTTGATATACATTGATATTCTTTGAGAACTGTTCGGAGACGGTAAATAAGGGCACCTTCTTTGTAACATTGTCCACATTACATTAAATTTTTAACGAATTTGCTTTCTCCTTTATGCTAAGGACAGTTAATATAAACGTGGGTATTGAACTTTTTTTTTGGTATTAGTTTAATAATTATATATTACTGGGATATGCCCCAGACCATTATCATGTGTATATAAGTATAAATATATAAAGCTACGCACTGTTTTACAGAGTAAATACGGTTAATAATTTAATAATTGTTACATGTAAAAAAGAAAAATATAGTCACTTAACAACAATATAAAGATATTTCATTATTTTCTCATTTTTATGAATTGTTTTTAGACACTCTATACATTAAAAATATTAGAGATTTTTCGATATTTTATTATTTCACAATAGAAACTTAAAATCTTAAATTCAAATATATGAAATCGGCTGCTAATTTTACTTCATATCTTAACATTAATCTTCTTTCATAACCTTTTTTTCTTTACAGGCGCATTCTTCGTTATCTCTTCCTATTCACTCCGCATACCTTGGCACTAAGTTTGTGTTTTTTAGTGAACAGACTAGCATTTGAAAGACGTAAGTTGAGACCCATCTGTGTGAGAGTTATGTATGGTTTTCCTCATTCGATATTTATTTCGAAAAAATAATGGGAAAATAAAAGGCAAATGATGCAATGATACAATCAATAAAAAAATTATACAAACGTAAATAAAACCAAGGTATGTAGAATATTTAATAAAATGAAATAAAGTGAAATAATTTCATATAATTCATATAAATTCATATTTTAATTTTTTTAAGAAAACGACTGAACTGAATTTTGAATATATATCACTTTATTTTTATTTCATATATGTTAATATATATGGATTTACTTATACAGAATGAATAATGTTTTAAAATGGATTGCAAATCTATACTTCTTTTTTTTATTATATAAATAAAGACCAACTTATTTTCAGAAAACATCTTAAAGCGGATTTATGCTTCACATTTTTTATTTCACTACAATTCAACTTTAAAGTGCAGATGTAAAAATATATATCTGTATGTTCTTCACTTTGAGCGGCTTTACGAAAACAAATATCAGGAACCGTTACATCAACGGTTAGTCTACAACAACGCGTCACAAGAAGAAAAAAAGGCAACAATTTACTTACCACCAGGAATACCAAATTTTCTGTAGTACACTATACACTTATTACATTATTTTGTTTTGGTATTAATACCGCACCGAATCCATTCTGCGAAAACTTTTTCTACATTTCTTGGATAATTTTTGATACAAAAACAGAAATGACACTCTGTGCAATGCTTGAATGAAAACCGTCACCCACCAGCTATTGACAACATCCAGACCGCAACAACTCCAAAGTAAGAACGAAACAGATCACCGGAACACGTAGGTTCTTCTTACGCTATAACTGACGCCAACTTTTCTATATATCAATGTATATATTTTAATTTACATTGTGGAAAAATATATAAAATCATTTACTTACACATTTTCGGGGAATATAAGAGGATTTTGTGCGTCTCGCAGAATCTTGCAAAAACAACCAATACTAACTCAGAACAATCAATATTAACGCAAAGTTTAAGTAATTTTGTTTGCGGCTTTGAACCGGCTTTTACCGAATTTAAATTTTTATAAAAGAGCTTTTCTCACATAATCTGTGCATAAGTAAAGCTAGAAAGTTCGAAACACAAAAGCGAAACTTAGTTGACACACATACATAATCAATACTCTTGTTTTCTTTTAACTAAACAATTAAATTTTCACACACTACAATATTCGGAATATTTTTGTAGAATAAAAGCGAAAATAGGCAATAATTTGTCGGCCCCCGAACATATATCCAAATCTTGCTCTAAGGGTAGATGGTGCAAATGTTGTAATTCTAAATTGCTTGAAATGCCTGGGGTGATTATCTATAATAAATTATGCTTTAATGCACACATAAATTCCCTGTGCCCTCTATTTGTTACACAGAAAGGGAAATTCCTTGAATGTTTACATGGCCATTCAAATTGAAATTAGAGTATTGAAAGTTTTAAATTAAGAAGTTTTAAAGTTAATAAAGAAGTTTATAATCCCACGAATACTTCAAACATGAAGAAATTAAGACTATTAAGGAATAGCATAATTAGATATACATTCTCCTTGAGGCGGTATTCCCATATCCTACGTTATCTGCTACGTTTTCCGGATTATTCATTCGTTAATTTTATTAAAATTAGACTTCTGCTCAACCTTCATAATTTTAGTCTATGGCAGGGACCGAAGGACCTCTTTAATCAATGATAATTGCGACTGTTTGATTCCTACTTCAACATCTGAGAGAGCTGTTGTGTTCTTTAACCAATTATTTGATCATAATTTAGTTCGATACAACCGTACCCCAAAATTTAATGGTAGACTGCTTGATCTCGGCTTTGTCAATTTCCTTGAGATTAGTGTAAATCGTTGTCCACGTTTAGTTTACCTGAGGATCCTTGTCATCCAGCAATGTGTATTTCCTTTCATCGCAAACATAATGGTTCGTTGAACCGTTTTAATGCCCCAATTCCAACTTTTTCAAATAAATATTATGATTTCCATAATTTCCATAATCAATATTTTACCTTGCCTTATATTTCACATATAAGGCTTGATATCTCAACCGAAAGTAATGAAAGCTTATTGCCATCGTTCTACAATACATTAAATCTAGCTATTGCTGCATCTGTTTCGATCAAACCGTGCCGAGCTCGAAGTAGTTGTCCCCCGCGATATAACAAGGCAGTTAAATATAACAAGAATAGGAAAAACGAGCTTTTCAAAAAATTTTCGAAAAGTGGCTCTGCTCTTGAGTATATGCAAGGCATAGCTTTAATTTCCTCATTCGCCAATATCATTGCATATACCTCCAGTTTATAAAATCATCACTGTTTGCTAATCCCAAATGATTTTTTAAGTTTGCTAACTCGATAAGAAAAATCTCCATAGAGCCCTCACAGGTCTCTTCAAATGGCTCTGAGTCCTCGAATGATTTTGAAACCTCATATCTCTTTGCTGAATACTTCTGACGAAATTTTTGAACATGGTTTTCGAAAAGGAAGATCTACTGTCTAATACTCTGTTAGAGTTTATTTGTCATGTTTTCAAGACCTTTTCTAATGGTTCTCGCAATGATGTCGTATACACTGATTTAAGCAAAGCGTTGGATTTGATTAATCACAACTTACTGATCTTCAAACTCCTATTCTCTGGCTTCCCTTTCTATTGGGAATGGACCAGCACAACAGACCATTCACCAGCTCCGATGAAATCCCCGTAACGTCTGCCGTACCTCAAGACAGCCACTTAAGACATTTTTTTTTTTCATTTATACATTAATCACCTGCCCTCGGTGATTAAATCCGGTCAGATTTTAATGCACGCTGACGATGTAAACTGTTTTCTTCCTTCACAATCACATCAGCTTCAAAGTGACTAGAACAATTTGGATGCATGGTGCTCGTTGAATTTTATGAAATGAAATCTAAACAAATGTAAGAAGCTTTCTTCCTCAAGAAGGAAGTCATTCATTACTCATTGTTTCATTGATTTGCACAAGTTGCAGTCCGTCGATTTTTTCACAGATTTAGGCGTTCTATTTGACCAAAAGTTACGTTTTAACTTGCATATTGAATCCTCGTTAAGCAAAACTAGGTCCTCGGTAGGTTTTATAAAGAGGTGGTCCAAAGAGCTTGATGATCCTTACATTATAAAAAGGCTGTACATGCGTTTGGTTAGACCAGTACTTGAGTATGCCTCTGTTGCGTGGTCTCCTTCATGTAGGTGCTATGTAGATTCGATCGAATCTGTTTAAACGCAATTCTTGCTGTTTACCCTAAGGAATTTTGGTTGGGACCCGATTGCCGTTCTTCTCTCCTATGAAAATAGGTTGCTTCTGTTGTCCTTACCGTCTCTTGAGAAACGTAGACATATTCTTGGCGTTTCCTTCGTAATCAAAGTAATAAATAGTACTATTGACTCACCCGTATTACTTGGTGAGATAAGCTTTAACGTCCCTAACCTCTTCTCTAAGCACTTTATCTTGATTAAGCTTGGTCAATGTTAATTGATCAATTGAGTTGGCAGAAACCTAAATGACGTCTATCAGTTGTTCTCATTATCCGCCTTTTTAAAGTCCATTAAAGTAAACGAACTTTTAACTTTAATAAGTCATTATGATTCGAAATCTAATTGTTGTTAACTGTTATCGGTTGCCAAGCTTTTGAGTGTTTGCGATGGTTTAGGGGTTCATTTGCAATTTGGTCCTGTACTAGTTCTGGGTGTAGCTCTATGCTAGTTGTGTACATGCTTTTTTTCTTTTTTTTCGAAAGACAATGTGGGCTCCCTCGACGTATCCACCTACTTCAACAAATACAAATAGAAATACTTTAAGATGTTTGATGCATCATAAGGACATAAAAAGCGCAAGAAGAAACTACTCACAACAATTTTTCTTAAACGTATTTGAAGGCTTCTTTTAACACGTGAAAATTTTACAAAACTCTACTTGTGACAATACGTAGATATTTTCATCCCACAAAGCGTTCTTTATGTTCTGACTTGGCAAAACTATTCGATTCATTACGACTTTTGCCTTCTGTTGAAGTTAGAGCAAAATATCTTATCCAGCATCTTAAACAATGAAGATGATGAGAGAATCACAAAGACCTTCCAGAAGAGTTAAGCGACGCATGGTCAAATTTCCGTGATAAATTGGCCGAAATAAACGATCTCAAGATCCATCGATACATGTTTAAAGGCATGCTTCCGTCATCTATTCAACTACACGTTTTTGCTGACGCATTCGAAAAGCCATTTGGAGTTGCAGCACATCAGCACGTTAAGCCGCGGCAGTGGCGGCATGTTCCATCCAAGGACAACCCAGCAGACATTCTGTCAAGGGGTCTATCGGCAGAGGCGTTGTCAAAATGCGAATTATGGTTTGTAGGACCATTATTCTTACATGGAAGCCAAGAATGTTGGCCCACATAATTATTACCACACTTACATATTCGTACGTATCTTGAAAGAAAGAAAAAAGAAACCATGACGTCAATCACAACGCAATGAAAAATATTTATGATTTTGATTATAACATGAATCATAACGGCTCATTCAGAAAATTATATGCTTCGTTTTGTTCAAGCAATTCTCAGTAAAAACGCACCAAGGCTTAAGCTATTATCATTAACCACTGAAGAATTCGAAGCAGGACTTGTAGTCATAATAAGCGGCATTGAAAATTATGATTTTAACAATGAATTTAAAAGTCTCCAGAACAATCAAGAAAATGAAAAACAGTGTTCGATTTGTCGCCTATCTCATTCCTGAACAATAAAGCAATTATTCTTGTTGGTGGACGACTAGAAGAATCAAATCTTCCATATGACATCTTGGTTACTATTCAAATTTACTCATGGCAATAACGAGTAGTGCAGTCCAGAAGCCCTACGGGAGATAATTCGACACAGATTCTGGCCAATAATGAGAAGGGTTGCTGCAAGGGTAACCGAACAAAGCTGCGTACAATGCAACAAGGCTCCTCCCAAACTACATAAGCAGATAATGGGAAATCTCCCGTCA